ACTTTTCTCCTTCACCGGAGCTGGTCTCCATCTTTTTTTCCTCTTTCCACCTATTTTTCTTCTTTTTAAATTTATTATCTTCATCAGCATGCATATCACTATCCTAGGATGCCTGTTGGCGTCCTGTATACTCGGCTCGAATGCCCATCCGCTGATGGTGAGCGAACCATTGTTACGCCAAAAGCATACGAACTATGCTCATCAACTCGCTTTACAGATATCAAATAGCGTCGAAGAGCGGAGCCTGGACCAAAGTCAGCCCCTAGTGTCAAGATCAGAAGACATACCCGACCTGGTATCGCGGGATCTGGAGAAACGAGCCAGGACCCCAGTCAAAGCGGCACCAAAATCGGCACCTGTCCCAGCGAAAAAGGTGTCCACTCCCAAGGCCGCTCCCAAGGCTGCTCCCAAAGCTGCTCCCAAAGTCGCCCCAAAGCCGCTCCCAAAGCCGTTCCCAAAGCTGTCCCCAAATCTGCTGCTAAAAATGCGGGTGTGACTCGAAAGGCAGCTCCGAAACCTGCTTCCAACCAGGCTGCTAAAAAGAATACACCTCAGAGAAAAGCGCCCGCCTCAAAAGCTGTGGGAACTAAGAAGGCTCCAGGCAAGGCACCTGCTAAGGTGAATAGGCCTGCACAAAACTCTCGCAAACCCCTTTCGAATAAAGCTAAATCGAACATGGCTTCCAAGAATCGCAAGGTGAATGGAGCGAAGTCCGGCAAGAATGTGGGACCGAAGCCTCGCAAGACATCCGCAACCAAGTCCAAGGTCAACAAGAGCACCCCATCCAGGTCCACCAGGAAGCCTACCTCCAAAACGAGAAATCAAGTCGCATCCAAGTCCAAAGCCAAGCCTTCTAAAGCACCCAAGTCTAAATCTCAACAAAGCGCTACGTCCAAGGTCATGAAAGGAAACGATTCCAAGGCCCGCAAGAACACTATATCCAAGTCCAAGACTAGCAAGAAGAACGTACCCAAGTCTCGCACGGCGCCTGGCTCCAAGAATGGCAAAAAGGTTGTGTCGAAAGGCAAAGCCAAGTCCACCAAAGCAATAAAGACCAAACCCATCAAAGGAGTCCCATCGAAGGCTCGTAAAGGAAGCGGTTCCAAGTCC